AGGGTTCAAATGGTGAGAAAAACCTCTAGGTTCAATGAGTCAAAAGTTTACTGGTTTGTATTTCACTGAAAGGTATACCAAAGAGGTACATCAACCTCGTACAGTCTCTCTATTTGATTACTATTGGTTGATTTAGAGCTTATGAAGTTGATAACATCAATTGGTGTTTGTCAGGGTTGTCCAACTCCACTTAACTTCCTTATAAATATTCTTTTAGAGATTACACTTATTATCTGAATTTTCATGAATAGATATACTGTCATGAGATTCACTTATCGAGTTAAAATACTCAGATGACATGATCCTATTTGATCAAGATGCTAATGGAATGTGGAATCTTCTAATCAACTTCATAAACAATTTAAACATGTTTTGGATGGGGTTCTTTTCCTCTAAAATGGTCTGATCCAGCGCCTGAGTTAATGGTAAAGAGGGAAGTATTTGAGTCAGTTAATCATTTCACTTATCTCGGAAACTACATCAACCCCAATGGGTTGGTGAACTTAGTTTTTGTCTCCACTTAGATCTTGGGTTCCCACACTATTGTTTTCCATAAACGAGAATTTTATTCTCAAACCCATTTGTAAAGCGTGACAGTAGGTAGGAGGAACGTAGACGTTATTTTGAGAAGTTACAGAAGATTTACAAAGTACATATACGTCGCTTTCAATCCTCAGATCGCATCTTTCAATATGTTCTCAATCTGAAGCGTCATCGCGTCTGTCCTCCACGCGTTATGCCAACACCGTGCTTTCGATATACTGAAACTCTTCATTACGTCCGACAACTGTCACAATTTTGATGCCACGTCCCTCTACACACTACTACTTCTACTACGGTGGTATCTCGTTGTACCGATGTGCAACAACTTGAAACGTTGCAGGTATACCTCAGGTTCTACGTGACGTATAACTTACTATTTGTACATAATTAAGAACTTAATATTTAACAGAGGAGCGAATACATCCAATGAATTATTAATTATTTTTTAAAATAGAAATACCGTCTTAACATTAGGTATCGGCTACAGTTGGAGATGAGCACTATTTTATATCATTGCAATAGTCTGAAAATGATACGCTCTTCTCGAGATCTCCAAGTACCTGTTTGAATGTCATGAGAGGTTGTGTGTACTCACTGTTTAGTAGGTCGTGAAAATAGTGAAAAACAACTGTCCACTACTACGTGATTTTCAGTGGCGTTCGAGATGTAAAAACAAAAAGTTGAGAATTTCTCACTGATACTCTGACTATTATTACTATTAGTATTATTATTATTATTATTACTATTATTATTATTATTATTACTATTATTATTATTATTATTACTAATGATAATAAAAACACGTTCAGTAAGTATATTGCTTATATAAGATATTTGCTGAGATTCACTAGTGGGAGTCTTTTTACTGGGTCGAAAATCTAATGAATTTGATATAACACAGAAGTTACTTCAATTTTAAACAACTTTTGTGATAAACACTACTCACAAGATTGTTTGTAAGCGCTGTGTGGTGAAAAGTGGAGTCTAGGTTGCAATAGTCGTCAAACAAGAAGAAAGATGCAAACGAATGATTAGAGGCTACGTATATGTATTATTTAAAGGCTCTGTGACTTCTCATCATAAATGTAAATTTTTTCTGCTGATTGTCATGTTCTACACTGAATAACTCTAAAAATTAACGAAGTTATGATGAACTTTTCCAATCATTCATATACTCTAGGCCACTAAGTCATCATAAACTTGTTTCCATATTTAACTTCAATTGATTCGAAACAATGTATCACAATCTTCCAATCCTATTAATAGCTAATTGTCTCACAATCGATATGGTTGAACTCCATTGGTAATAGCTTCCTACTATAACTCCTGGAATTACCCCCCGAAACTAGTTATTAATGAGCATATAATTATTAGTAGTAAAGAGGTTGTGAAAAGATTGTTAAATTCGATAGTTTACGTCTGGAATTTATCTTAGTTAGACAATCAATAAAAATCAAGAATCGCTGAACAGTTGTTTCATCGTAGTATTAGTCTCCTTAGTGTCAGTACATATCAAAAACTTTAAAAAACAATTTTAACAAGTCTGTGTCCAATTTTTCTTTACTGTTAGATCAGTGATTTCTTCTAGCTCTCTAAACTTTGATCAGTGACAAGACTATAATACATGGACAACTTTTGAGCGATACTCAAATAACCTTGGGAAATTTCAATCGCTTACTAGGGTCGAAATAGAATTATAAGATAGTGTGAAGAATTAGGGTTAGGGTTTTCATCACAAACCAACATAGTTTATCATCTCAAAATGCTATCTAAACATATGGATGAATGAGCTTCACACCAAAATCCAAGAGTCATTGCTATCTTTAATCCAATTGGTTCGTCCATAGATTACGGTCCCGCATTGATTAAATAAATTTCCATCATTGATAATGATTGCAGCAAGATATTCGCATTTACATTTTAAATGATATATTCATGATGACGATCGCGTTGGTTTTCTTGTTTCGTTGTTTGTCATATGCTCAGAACTTTTATTTAGTCCAGTATACGAGTATAAAGGCATTATTATTATTATTATTATTATTATTATTATTATTAGTAGTAGTAGTAGTAGTAGTAGTAGTAGTAGTAGTAGTAGTATCAAAAATGAGGAGTTTGGGGTCAGCGGACAAAATGTGTATATTTATCGGATTGCCTGAGGCTTATGTTATTATTTAGTAACATAGTTCAAAACTGTCTAAATTGATATAAATTGAGACTAGTTTATAGGAATATCATACTTTATATTGAAATCTTGGAAAATATTTCGTTAAATAAGTTGTAGGGATTTTAGATTCACTTTTATTAGGTAGATTACATTCTTCTTGATCAGATAATCTTATCCTTAGTTCAGTTTTACAATACTTCAAAGATTCTAAACATATGGAGTGAATTTTAATTTGTTAAGTAATCCATTATATTTTTCACAATGAGGCAGCTAATTATAATATTCATATTGGAACTAAGGTGACAATACTTATTCAATATTGAATGAACCCTGTACTTCATCGAAGCAGGTTAAATTTTACAATATGAAACATTTTGTAAATAAAATATTCATTTTTTAAAATAATCGGTTGACATTTATGAACGTGAGTACACATACATATCAAGTAGCAGACTTAAAACTATAGCCAGTATCACTCTTTTATAACGAAACTAGTCACCAGTGAACATGCGACCAGAAAGTCGTCTATTAAAGTCAACATAGGATTGGTAATGTACTCTGCTGAATAGTTCTAGAATGGGACGGGAATCAAACTTGCGACAAATGCAAACCCCAATCAGTATAGTACCTTTTACACATTTCACAATGAATAATCCTACATTTATTGTACTATCTAGAGTTCATACATTGAATTAATGAATCATTTCTTTCTTCAGTGATTAATATTTTTAACTTTTGGTCACCCTAATAAAAATCTTCATAGAAACCCTGTACACCTGTATGTATTTATGATATCACAGAGTAGTTGATAGGTAGAAAAAACCTTTAAGGCTAGTGAAATGTCACTGAGCACTGACCAAGTCATTCGGCAGTTGAGTCACTGAATATCGAACAGATCATTGGTTTGATAGTTCTTGCATATATATATATATATATATATATATATATACAGTTTTTATTGATAACCTTTGTCGTTCCAATTATTTACATCCAATTATGTCAGTTGTTTCATACTATTTCTTACCTCAATGTCGAATTCTAGTACATATTTGTTTGTAAGCAGCTGACGAGAAACCTCCAAATAAAATGAATTTATGCTATTCTACATCAAAATTTGTTCTGGCTTTATTCAAATTCATAAAGGGAACGAATTGCATGAGACTTCTAATAGTCCTCACACTGTTTCTAGTTAAGGTTAGGTATTTAGGGTTAGGGTTTTTGTTACATTCTCTACTTGATTATGGCTAATACGGCATACAACTAATGGCAATAGGATGTGTAGAACCATCATAGTCGCAAATCAAGAGACAGATGTAGAGGAAGCTATTATTCGGTAAGAGTAAAAAAATACAGAAAAACATGGGTACTTATGGTTATTAGTATTGACTATAACATCATTATAACTTAACAAGTAAGAGTTTATACAGTTGTCTAACCACAGCATGCCAGCTTGATACTCTAGTACGACCTATCAGGCTCGTAATGGACGGAAACTTTTAGAATCCTTTAGGGCCTCGCGAGGCCTCGTCGTACTTTTCATAGCCATCCCAACAGTTTTTACTTACTAATTGACCTTAGAGACATTATGAATTGTTCCGTAGCCATACAGTTCAGTGAGTTTGTTCAGAAATACAGAAGGCACTATCCGATCAGTTCACTTAAAGAATATAGTACCACCGTAATAAGGTTTGTTTCAGGACTGCTGGTTTAAAACTATGGTTTTCTCCTCTATTATGATCGGTTCGCCTCTATAGTGTGTATACTTTTGTCTATTTTCCTTTCGATTAACTATTATAAACTCCTTATTCTTAGTTTGACTGATAAGAAAACCTGAATTTCACAACAAATACTCATTTTTGATTGATACCGTGAGTAGAAAAATGTCTGACCACTATTGGGAACTTGATAGCACTGGATGGCCGTCTCGACCTAGTGAGGGACCCCTCGGTAATGCACACCCACGACCTCGCGCGCTGGGCTCGAACTTGGGATCTATGGTGTCACGTGAGAACGCTTAGCCTCTAGACCACTGAACCGGCATCCAAAGGTTTTAACACCTAACTTTAATCGGCCATTATTTATAAATGACTGATTCAATCATGTTCTGAACATCAACAAAGGGACACTACAACAATTCACAGGTTTTCAATAGTGTTCTAATATTGATCCATTTATGATATCAATCTAAACTCAACAATCTCCATAACCCTATACTGATAAATACTTATTTATTTTTATTCAGTTTCATTAGATTATTTCAAGAATAGTAAATTCAATCAAGAAAAAGACAATGAATACGTTACCAGCAAACAGAACATTGAACACATTCAATGGTAATAATGCTAGACGATCAAGTATCTCAGCAATACGTTATGCTCGATCGACATCATTATATTTCCCCAATACAGATACAGATGAAGAAAGTCGTAGTCAATTACTTACAAGTGAAAGTATTGCGGAAACACGTAGAGCTGAAACAATGAATCGATTAAATCGTATTGATGTTAAAAGTGAAGGATCTAGAAATTTAACAAATCCATTATTTGATAGTATGAGTAGTATAGACCAACCATGGTTACGTGGTTATGGTCAAACTGTTGTGTTATCTCCACCAAAAATTAATTTACCTGTTCAACAACAAAATTCACACCAATCACAACAACCATCCTCCATGGAACACGATACCGCTAGTACCATTCAAGATATGCAACATTCAATACGTTTACCTACACCTAGAAGTCCTAATATAATGCATGGAGGTTATGGTGCCCTACCACCTTTACATTATGGTACATCGATAAGAGATGGTTACGCGAGCAGTAGTGGAGGTGTTGGAATTGGGGCAGGAGGAGTTGGCAGTGGAATTGGGGGTGGTAGGAAAAAAACTAAAAAGAAATTATCATGTTTATCTTGTCTACATGGAACTAATAAAGTTGAATCGTCAACAAAGTATGTTATAAATTAGATTAATTGAATTTGAGTTATTCTTCAAAATATTAACGATAAGTTAATGAAATGAAGATTTTTTGTTTAACATATGAAGACATGACTGTTTCTCAAAAGATTTTATGATTTGTAAACGACCTTTAGATTGTCAAGATGAATGGATAGAATACCGATTGATAGGTAATATACAATCATACAATTTGGATGAATGATAGTTCAGTTGTACACGAGACTGGATTTCTAACTTAAACCCCTGAATGAATTGAGACCAAAGACAAGATCACTAACCAGCAGAATAGGTTTTCTTTATTCAATAAAAATAACACATTATTTAGAAATTATTGACAGTGACAATAAATATATTCAAATGTTAAAAACCATTGAAGAATATTAAGTTTGTGTATTATTCTCTAATGAAGATTTGACTGTACGGCTTAATTCTGATTAATCGTATCAATCGGAATCGTGGCATGAGGGTATCAAAACCTGAAAAAAGGACATATCTGTCATATTTACCAGAATTGTTCAGTTCACAGCATTCACTACTGAATAACAAGAGAAAACAACGCTTATGTGTATCTTTTATCAAAATGAATCGATTCTAACTGTTGGGATTAATAGTTAACTGAAAATTTGCACGATAGTTTATGACTAATACAGTACTGGAATATAAATCATATTGTATTATGTAAGTAGTGTCAAGGGTAAAGTGGTTGTAACTCATGGAACTTAAAACAAACCAACAGTGTTAGAACGCGAGAACAAAGGTACGGGTCGTGAATGCACACTGCTGAAGAATCTTATACTAGAACGAAACAGCCGTTCAGTACTTCCAGGTTTTCAATGGTGGTCTAACATTCGTCGATTCATGATCTCAACCAAAAACTCAACAATCTCCACAACCTCGTACTGATAATTTCCATGTGCTCACTAGTAACCAGTTTCGTAAGGGAATTCTCGAAGTTCTAGTGAGAAACTGTTACCAGTGTACCTAATCCATGTCAGGTAAAAACAGGTATCTACCTCAGACAATGGAAGATGGTCGCGCAATTTCGTGGATTGGATAATATAATTGCATCCGAACATGTATTACAGACTTATTATGTCTAGTCGTTTATATTCATCCATAGTTTCAGGTTAATGTACCAGAAAATTCAACTTCCTTGTATTTTAATGAATTATGTCATAAACCAGTGTGAAGGGGGGCTTTCCGGGATTAGCCTAATTCACTATCTTGTCGTCGATTTTGGATTAACAAAAACTCTCTAAATAATACATACTTTAATTTTGGTTTAAAAATGATAAAGAGTTTCCATTGCTTATTATCAGATAATGTTGTCGTAGCAATAATAACACTTGAAGAAGCGTAGATCATATCTACGTTCCCATAGTTGATGTTTATACACGTAAAATTGGATTTCTAAGCTCATCAATAAAATTATTTATCCTGAGGCTTCATTCAGAAGTCATCTAATTATTGTGGTTATTAAATGTCTGAAGTAACTTTGTTCCCTTAAAACATGCACACATACATATATGCAGTAATTTACAAAATTAACCGACTGATTAAATGTGCATATATATAGGCATGTCATTTACGTATAATTTAAATGTATCATTCCTTGGATAAACGCTCACATATATATATATATATATATATATATATATATATATATATACAACTCTCTTCTCAGTTAATGTTTATAATAATTATGATTATTATTATTCAATAAAACGCACTAAGTGGGTAGTTATGATTTGTAAAATTTAATAACAGATATATTAATTGATTTTTGCTTAAATCTAATTTAACCGAGTAAAATACTCACTTATAGATATAAATAAATTTACTTCCCTTCAATAAATCTATAACAATCTATAAATCTACACGCGTATCAGGTCAAGAAATGAGAAGTTTTTCCAATTTCCTATTTTCTTCATCCTTCCCTCCCCCCACAGTTGTATTATTTTTACTCATTTTTATCAGAAGGGGTATTGTGGAGATTGTAGTAATTTCAATAGTTGGGATCATTTATTTTTATTTATTGTTATTAGTAAATATGTTATTAATTTGTTATATTATTTCTCTCTTTCCATCCACTCACGTATTTCCGCACACGCACACACATCATCATCATTATCTTCATCATTTAGCTTCTATTCATCATCTGATGACTTAAACTTAATAGATGACCTAAATAAATCAGATGGACATGAAGTGAATAAGCGAGAACAACAACAAAATCCATACATTATCTGTTTGTCGATTGTCTTCGCTTTGTTGGACATTCTTTTATTGATCGGGTTGACTTTACTGATATTCTTTTTCAAGTGAGTTCGATGTTTTTTTCCTGAAAAAAGACAATATTTTGCCATTTATTGAGTCTGGTTTTTTGTATTTGCCTTTCTAGATGTTAGAGATTTCTAATTGACTTTAGATTGTCATGTTTTAAACGGTAATAATTTTTCTTAAAGACATGAAATTTATGTTAATACGCCCGACTTCCTGCCCCTCCCACCATCCACCATTCAAAAGTAACCTTCTATAAACAATCAAAACCGTCATTTTAGCCGGCCAACAAACTGCCTATTATCGGACCCATAAAAGTACTTAATTTGGTTTGGCAATATCAGTTTATGTCAACGTTGTTGTGAACCATGTTTATTTCAAACAGTGGAACTGATATGATTTGCCGAGAGATATTCATTGATGTAAGATTTTCAACGCAAGCACAACTCCTTAGACAACTGAAGGCTTGTGAGAATGTGACTTTCGACCATTTACATAATACAAGACATTCATGGACATCCAAATGATTTTTATATAAAATATGTATACAAAATGAATTATCACCCTTCAGCGATCAACAACTTCTCAAGCGACACGAAGGTTTGTTTCAAAATAAATTCTTTGTCCATAGGTCTAGACAGCCTGTTTATAGTAGTTGTGAATCCAAAGTATTTGTTCGGAAGGCTTTTACGCAGTATCTAGATGGGTAGCGAGTCATAATCATGATTTGTTGAGTAACACTTGTGAGAAACACCCTAGCTTTCATCATTTGACAGCTGATCAGAAGAATACAATCCATCCTTTATTGATTTCCGGAACTTCAGCTTTTACTGTCATCGATTTTGTGTATAACAATTACAAAAAGAAAATAATTTCCCAAGACGTTTTCGATATGCAACAACGTCTATTTGTACGAAGGAAACTTCTAAGTCAGTATAATCTTGGTTATTATCTCTACTTACTCTGTGATTTTGAGACATTAGCTTCACACATCATTGACGATGCAGATCTGGATGTGACTATATCTAATGTTGGTAGTGAAGACACGGCTGAAGTGAATGTGGCGATGCGAGGGAATAATAAAATTCCTGAGCCAAGTGAAGGATCTGACGATGACGATGTTGATAGTGATGTCTGATGCTATTAGTTCCAACCGCCAAGCGTCAGAAACCGTCATGGTAAATGGGTGAGATTTTTGAGATGCAGCACATTCAGTCATGTTTATTCCACAACAACCGACGAGGGTGACTTCCTATATATGGAGTGTTACGGTTATGATATGAAGTCATGTAACCTGTAAATGAATACCACAGTTGATAATACCGTTCATCGCATATATCAACGAAGATCCTACTTATAGCCCTCTCAACAAACTGATTTAATACTATCTGGTTTATGTTTTGCCACTCAATGTTTTAACAATAATTCGGTTACTCGATAGGAAGGATTATGTAATAACTATTTTACTAAGTGCGTATCACATATAGCATAAAAAAGACCAAGTACGAATGCTGAGTAATAAGTATGAATTTCTGCAATAATGATGTTCAAACAATGTACCATTTCATTTGTGATTAGTAATTTTCCTATGCAGATTGACCCAGTTAAGACCAGGCAATTGGTTAATATCAGTCAGTAAATGCTAAAATTCTGTTAGCTATCTGTTTGACATGAATTTTGTTATGACTTATGACCCTGTCTAACACCATGTGACAGGACCACCAATCAGAATATCGATTTTTATGACTTTGTACATAAGCTAACTAATGACACACCAACCAGTACTAAGTAGCCTCGAGTTAACTCCAAATCCTTTTGGTCCTCAATATAGTAGTTTTTCTCCTTGCCCTTCCCGTTGCGCCTGGAATACAATAATCAGCCTCCACTATATGAATATTATATACTCAAACATACATGGTTTATATACAAGCAGACCAGACCGCATCACACTGCAAAATGCAAAATAAAAATTATACATGATCAAGTCAAAGATGGCTGTGAGTTGTGTTGTCTAGCTCATTGACTGAAAATATCAAAATATGTGATAATTATCTTGTAAAAACAATCTCAAAACAACAATCACGAATCACATTCAATGAACACACAGACAGTAATTAGGTATTCAATTTAGATTTTGTTACCTAGGTGAGCTCTACACTGATCTGCGTATTGTATGTTTCCAACACGAACCTTATTTGCCTTACGAAAAATTATCACACTGAGTTATTCAAATGTCCACTTATCAATTTTATTGCTGTTATCTACAGATGAAGTGATTTTAATTCACCAGTTGAAACCAAATACTTGTGTATAAAAGAGTCTCATTCATTCCCTTAATTTTTCATAGTTCTTATAACCCCTCTGTCTTATTTTACTCTTCATATGTGCCAATTATTATCGCCATCGTAGTATTCTTCTTCTTCTTCGTAAATCAGACAACCGACTTTTACACTTTTTCTATTGGTTAACATAGTTCCACCATCACCTAAATTATCACACAACTTCTGTTAAATACTTGGAACCTTCACAATTACGTAATTTTAATGATGCAATACTTCTAATACTTAAAAACATGTTTACTAGTTTTAATTAATTTACCCAAAAAAGATGTGAAATATTTTGATAATTTTGTTTATATGTTCAAACTATACAACACCATATTTTGCATAGATATCAAAGATGTTTGACAATCCATGATACGTTTATTTAATGACTTGACAGCTCTCTAGTTCATTATAGACGACTACGAACGATATGATCAAATACGATTGTACAGTTTAAGAAAATAACATTGTCGAAAAGAACACTTACTTCAGTGAAATGTGTTCTTAGTATTTAACTGTAGGTGAAGGATATGTCACTTATTACCCTTGTAAAAATGATATAATTTTCACACATTTTTTCTTAAGTTAATTTGCTTCCGGGAAAACTAATAACTATAATAATCATAATTGTATGTTTATTAAGAATGAATGTGCCAATTGTGTCAGATTTATTCACATGTATGAAGTATTCACTATTGAGATCTTATACTGTGCCATTTTGACATAATACGTTTCTTCAGCAGATAAATAGTTATAAATATATTTTATTGTTTTTTAATCTCATTCATACATCCTGTCATTCGGTTGACATATTTAAGCTACATTTTTATGTATTCTTGACGTGATATTACTAAACATAACCTCAGATAACTGAAAACATTTGGCCTCTTATTTACGTGGTTTATATTAATAATTATTACTATTTTATTGAGGTATTTATTTCCTAGTATCATGCTTTCCAATCTTCATTATTGAAAACATTAACCGCTCAATGTTAGGTTACTATTGAAGACATGGTATGGATTTTCTAAGAAGTGGACGTCCACGACACCGCATGCGGGAAACGATCCCAGGACCTTTGTTCTCGTACGCGAACGCTTAACTTCTAGACGACTGAGCCGTCATTCAACAGTGTTAATGTCTAACCTCAATCAATCCACGACTATCTTCGATTGTCTTCGATAGGTAACTGCCTCATACCTACACGGTTGAACTCCACTGGTCACGGGTTCGATTTTCGTGTGCGGGATCGTGGTTGCTCACTGATGACGAGTCAAATGCTTCCAGGTTTTCAGTAATGATCTAATATTGGTCGGTTCATGATTCTAAATTAATTCAACAGTTTCCACAACCATACACTGATTATGATTATTATTCGAGAGTATAATAATACTGATTAATAATTCTATAAATCGCTAAAACTTTTTTGTCTTCAATTAGCAAAATCACACCAAGTCGGAGAGTTTAAGACTTAAATATTCTAGTCATATGACAAATATAACCTTCGATATTCAGTGGAAATATTTGTAAAAATTGTATCTGAAATAACCGCAGAGGAAGTGTATACTGGACGCTTGTCTAAAAACCTTCAAATCTTGCTTTTGTGTAGGGTAAGATTATGAAACGAGATGGACTAGTTAAACACTTTGAACACTTTAACAGTGTCTATATCTCCACTTGATTGTATGTGACATTACAACACATATTATTCACTATCATTTTGTAGGTTTATTCGATTAATTTCATTATGTATACATTCATTTTGATAATAAGTAAAATAATTATGTCAACATTAAGGAGGAAGAATATATTTGTATAATACCAGAGAATGAATTTGAAGTAAATTCAACATTTCACCTGGCAATCTGGTTCATGCTTTTTTAAGGAATTCTAATCAAACATCAACATTATCGAATATAAATAAGTACATGGTTCTTTGGTCAACTATATACTAAATAGATCATCCATCATCATTTAGTATACAGTTAACCAGAGAATCATGTACTTATTTATATTAGATAATGTTGATGTTTGATTGTAATTCTTTGAAAAAGCTTGGATCAAATTGCCGGGCAAAATGTTGGATTTATTTCAAGTTTATTCGTTAAGATCTTACAAATACACTCTTCTTCCTTAATATTTCACATCGATTCCGCTCCCAAATACTATGAAACTATTCGATCAATTTTAGACAAAAGTTCTTATAAATTATGTCAACATCCAGTTTATTTGCTACATTCTTAATTATATAAGCAAAGATGGATAATGTCTAGCAGCGGAATCCAAGATACGCGTTTCGTCATGTTTGGGACTCGTCAGCTGGATATACCTGCATCACAGAGTTGATGTTCGCTCCGGGACTCGAACCTAGTACCATTCACTTCAAACGCCATCGCCTTATCGATTTAGCTACTGAGCTTTTGACTTAAGGCAATATCGAGGCAATCTGCACAGAATGCACATTTGCCAATAAGAGATTGATCGATTTCAGGCCTAAACAACAATGGGAAGATACAAGTAAACAACACCAAATAAATTCCTAACTATAGTTTATATATTTTATATGTCTAATTTTGTTAGCATTCCATATTAAATGATATTCAATCTGACTATATACAAAATTAACTGTTGAACATGTTTGGACAAGAGTTCATCATTGGCTTGTTTTAAACCATATTAATTCTTGATAATTAACATGTCAAATACTAGAGTTAACCTAGTAAAATTATGTCTTTTAATAAGTAAGACTTAAAAACCATTAACTGTCTTCATTTATTAAGAATTTTTCCTATTAGTTGAATCGACTGAGACAACTGTTTATAAAACTATGATTCCAACCATCCAATGACGATTGGCTTATCCACTATCCTACCAAAGGCCAAACTCAAACCCTCCAGGCTATGAGACAAGTGATTAACTGAGTTTTAGCATTTCTAAATTCAGATAATTTATCATATGATTAGAGGAATAATTGCTGCATATCTGACTATAGTCATTTATAATAGTTTACAATAATTTTGTTCATTCTTATCTGCCATAGTTTTAATCATTTCCTTTTCACTATTATAAACCAAACAAGAGTTAAATGTATTAACTAATGTAACCGTGGAAGCATTGAGATGCTTACCGTGTGAAGGCACTAGGAATTGTATGGGAACCAAAAAGAAAATTAAAACAAATGAAAGATAAAAATTCCATCTAAATCTCCAGCCAAAAGTATAGCTTATTAATCAAAACATTCTATTTATGTATAGATTTTACTGACATTTGATGATTTATGAAAGTATACTATGCCTAACTCAAATAGTAAGAATAACAAAGTGGATTTTTCACTGAATTTATACAAAAAAAGTTCTATACGTTAAACTGAACAAGTATCACGCTAAGTTAATACAAAAGAGTCTAAACTAAACTTGATCTCTAGGCTTATTTATTTCTGTAAGCTATATTCTTAGAAATATTGAATCTTGAAATAGGAAAGCATTACATAAAGAAGAAGACAAAAAACTGATGGTAGATTAAGACTTCATTCACTTTTTTCTAGATGAAAATATGACACCTTAGCATGATATTACCATTCACATAAAAAAAATTCCTATCTAATAATTTATACTTTAAAATTTAAGTTGACTTACGATTAAATGTGATCATTATTTAACTCTAGTTAAGAAGACACCTGTAACACTCTTGAAATGGTTGATCTCAAAAGTTTCCTATCAAGAACTGGACATTCTACTGAAATTTTATAAGAAAACCCAAATTGATCTTGAGGGGAAGAGAAATACTTCAGAATCATTTGATTGAATTCATACACAAGAATTATTTGATTTTGTGACAAAATTAGCTCACTGAAAGCATGGATAAATTTAAGAATTCAAAATGAACTAGATTTCTGTGTACTGATTTTCATATTATGTCTAATCTTAGTGCCCAGAGAGCTTATATAATTCTGGAATATTCATAAATATACTATCTACAGCTTAATGAAAAATCACCTTGTGCTATTTCCCCGTTTGATTTTTAAACAAAATGAATAAAATTTATTATATTTTTGGATTATGACTAACTGTGGACTATATAGTACTGGTTTCGTTCTATTTAGGACTTATAAGCCCAAATATATCAGCACCTGAGTGTCGATATTCATAATAACACTTAATGTTAGTATCGATATCATAACGAAAGCTAACATGTTGTACATTGTGCTACTGAGTTCATTCAACCATCAACTAATTATTTCAATAGGTATGAGAATCATAACTCAAGTTGTCGATATTTAGGAGTAAATTTTAGTCGGTTTCTATCACTAGATAAGTATTCAAAATGAACATTTCTAGATTATTTGTTATTACAAGCAAGTTGAAATTATCTAGAAAGTTATGAATATTCAATAATTTGGTTAGTATCCAGCATCATAAGTCATTTTTTCCGCTCATTTAGTAGTTTAATATTGCTTATTAGTATAATAATTTTCATTCAAGATGTTATTGAGAACTCTAACTCTTTTCATATCCATTTACGTTATATAAACATTCTTTATAACCGATAAAAAGGGGAATAATTTCACTCTACTTCAAATAATATATTTCACGAAAATCACACTCTAATTTACAGTATTCACACTACATTCATTGAATATGTAAAATATTGAATTGTGACTAATTAAAATCCAATCTTGAATACCAAAAAAATATGAAAAAAAAACACAAAAATAACCCTTTTAAATGATTAAATCAATAAATAACTTGGCAACAAATTACATAATCACATGATAGAATCTTTTGAATGTCATCTATAAAACAATAAATATAACACAATGTTTTAATTGGTTTTTATTTATTGACTAATACGTAAATGTCACTTTGAAAAATGTGTCTTAACAACAACAACAAAACACCTGATGGAGCAAGTAAACCAATATACAGATTGGAATTGACCTTCAAGGATGTAAAATCAATCAATCAATCAGTCAGTCAGTCAATTAGCCAGTAGTTTCTTCAAATTTATCATTTAGGGAAGAAATTTTATGGGATGTGAAAGTTTTTTTTTGTTTTTACAAAATACAAACTTAACTAACGTGTCACTATTTTATCAAAAGATTCTTTATATTTTCTCTTTTGAAAAAAAAAAAAAAAATAAACGACGTATCTTTGGAAATGTTATTGAATGTCAAATGGATAATGATTTTCAGAAAAAGTAGGTTAGCTGTTAGTAGAAGAAAAGAAAACTTGTTTTAATTATAAGTTCTTAAAAAAAAATAATAAACAAAGTAATTTGTCAGTGTTTTTGAGAATAAAACGTGTCAAGAATTATTTTTTTTCGCGTAGTTTGTCTGATATCACACTGGGGACAAGGTCTGTTCTATGGGGAAAATCAGCTGATTCATATATATACATATATGTATATTAAAAATATGAGGTAACTGGGAGGAAACTTTAGATTTAGACTTTGTGTTATTTACAAAACTGATGGAACTTTTCTCCCTATAATATTTAACCTTTTATTGACATTTCCATTAGAAGTTTAAAAACAGCAAGGAAAGTGCTGAGAGCTAAGTTAGGTTCTGCCGATTGATATTCACCGAGTTTTCTGAGTAGTTGGTTCTCATGAAAGTGTAATGCTTCCTAGCGTAATCTCGTTTCTTGATCTATAGTCACGCATATACACTAGTATAGCTGGTCTCATCTGAACTAGTTTTTCTTCACCTTTGAATGTTCTCACCAAATCTTTTATTGTTTAAAGTTCACGTGCTACTAGTGTCTTCTCTCGTGATTTTTGCAGTGAAAATCTATTGTTAGAGGCACTTATGTAAAGAATTAGAAGAAATTGGATGATCTGTACTAGAGCTACTTCTCCTTCTTCCAATGTTCCCCCATTAAAAGAGTTCAACAAGAAGAAACAACTTGTCAAAAAGTGCCAACTAGAATGAAGCCTAGTTTCAAACCAGCTTCTTATAATTTGTTATCACAAAACAAAGAGCATTACGATGTTAAAACACTTAGACAAATGATCACATTAAGATCTGATAAACAGAATTCGATTAATGTTAAGAACAGAGCAGGTACAGCATTGCTTACCACTCAATAATCAATGATTATTGACCGATCACTAACTACTACATATATTACAAGACAAGGTCTTATTAAAAATCATTCAATCTAAATTCTACATTTTATTTTATATTTTAAAGCTGTTCTGCTGATGGATGGTTGTACACAGACCCTAGAATTCGATCAATTTGTGTTACTTTGTAAGTTATAGCTATTTGTTTTTTGAACTATTTAAGTATATTAACCTGCTTGTCTGTTAATTTTTACTAGTTTTTAATTTCTCGTTATTGAAACTCAGGTCTGAAATTGATCAGTCTCCACTGACATATGTATACCTTGAGAGGATCACCTCGATTATAGTCTTTTATTATAAATGTTTATATCTCTGAATTGTTGTTAACAGTAGAATTCAGGATGAGCATTTCGTTGCATTTGGAACTCATCATATGGATGTGTTAATGTTCACATAGAAATGTAAATTCAATAACTATCGCCTCAAACACTAATCCGTTATCTACTAAGCTATTGAGCCTAAATAACCACTAAATATTTCAGTGAATTCGAGTTTCTGTATGCATATCAACACTGGAATGCAGGTAAATCTGGCTAACAAGTTTCAATTAGGATATAATATGTATTTACCAGATAAGTTCTTAAGTTTTAATTGAGATCACGGACCAACCAATGTTGGACCACTACTGAAAACCTGGTGGTGGGCGTTTCTTTCTAGTGTGGGACCCCTTAGCAGTGCGCATCCACAATCTCGTGTGCCAGACGGTTACCCACCGAAGACAATGGAAGATGGTCACGAAATATCGTGGATCGACTGAAGTTTGACAATAACGCTGTTGGATGACAACTCGGTGGTTTAGAGGTTAAGTGCCTGCGCGAGACGAGAGGCTTTGGGTTCGAATCCCTCACGCGAGATCGTGGGTGTGCACCCTTGAGGAGACGGCTTTCTGATGCCGCTAGGTTTTCAGTGGTGGCTTGACACCGATCGGTCCATGATCTTAATAAGACTCAACAATCTCTGTAACTCTATACTGATAAGTCCCTAAGTCTTGCTTTTCATATTGTTCCATTTTATTTTATGAAACCGATGAACCAATAAAATAGGTTAAACGGTAATAAATTTCGTTTTATATTGATTACCAGAAATTTGAAGTTGGGAAGAAAACCAATACTTTTTCTATTCAGATGCTAAGATCGATAAATAAATTCATTACTCATAGTTCTACTGAATGGTTTGTTACCTTAATTTTAGCGGGGTGCTTTGTTACTTTTCACGGATGAATAAATTGATTTCGTAGTTGGTTTTCGTCATAGAACAATATCAGTTGGAAAGCTACTGAAAACGAGGATTCATTAAGTAGATCTTTCATTATCGTATGAAAAATTTCATTAGTGTAGATAGATGAACCAACTAGTCATCGAATCCATGACCTTTAGACTACACCATTGGGGATATTAGTTTAATGGTCTAAAAATTATACGTTCTCCCTAAGACTTGAAAATTATGGCTTCCGTGTGTTTATGCTATTAGGAACTGGATAATTATCCCGTCAATTCCAGGACCTGTAAGTCCTATCGAGAACGTATAACGATTAGAACCAGTTGATCGGCGTTCAATAAAATAATTCCGACTCCAATTAATAATTAACCAGTGCTCCTTGAAAATCAATGATGCTTCAAATGAGATCAATATGTAACAAGTACTACCTACGAATCCAACTAATCTTCACAGAAATCCTTGAAATTAGTTATATTTATTCAAAAAATCCAATTAAATGAAAGAATAATGAACTGTGAGCATTTCTTTTTAGTTATTAGTTTTCCATTCATTTCAGATGGGCTGATTGGATACCTTTGTATCAAAGAAAATTTCAGTGTCCTGATATACCACCCGGTTATGCAGATAGCATTATTGGTAGTGGCAGTGTTAGTAATATCGGTAATATTGGTGAGTCAAATCCTAATCTGAAACCTCTATTGGAACGTATGAATATGCTTAGTAAACAACAACAAACTGCTGTATCATCATCATCGTCCTTCCCTACATTAACTACACCTAACCCATTATCTCAACTATCACAATATCAATCAAAATGGAATATTTATGATGTAAAAAGAGTTAATCCAGAATTTTGGGATGGTGATCTAGGATTAATGATTCCACCAAAATTAATTATTCCTTCTATGGAACAACAGTTATATGGACCAAGAGATACTGTTAAATTATATGGTCGTAATTATCCAACAGATAAACAATTTATACAAGGAATGAAAAATGATCATCAATGGTTACAATTGTCACAATCACAAACTGATCTTTATCATCATATGACAATTAGTTCAATTGTTACCTGTTCAATAATTATACCGTTAATACTAGTAAGTTTTTATTTGTTTGCATAAATATTAAAGTTCGATTTGACAACGAATACTATAGACAACTAGATGGGGTAACCATGGGGTCACCATTGGGCCCTCTACTGGCGGACATTTTTCTAGCAAAACTGGAAAATGGACCACTTAAAAACACAATTAGCCATTTAAAATCTTATTATCGCTACATCGATGATACTTTCTTAGTATTAGAAAAAGAACAATTTGCTTAAAATATTTAATAACGTTCATCCATAAATTAATTTTACACTAGAGGAAGAACAGAACAATAGCATATCATTTCTAGATATCCAACTAACTAGAAGAGCAGATGGAACTTTAAAAAGAGGGTTGCTCAGAAAGTCTGCAGTAGGACAATACACTCACTTCCATAGTGCAGTACCAATCAGATACGAAAGGGACTCATCGTGCTAGAATGATTTGTTCGGATGACATTATTGTAGATGAATTAGTAAATAGTAGGAATGCGTACCCAATGAAATTCATCGACAAACACACGAAGGAGATGAAAAGATGGACAAAGATACCTACTGTTCCGAAGAAATTATTGATCTTAAAATTACAATTCCTAAATGATACTACTGAAGAAATTGTGACTCCTAGACTGAGAAAAGCGGTACAAAAAACATTTGATGCTGCAAAACTGAGTGCTATTTTCTACAACCGCCTCACAATAAGAACGTCTAATAAAGACATTGCCTGAATTCGCCAAATCCATGTGTATTTATCGATTCAACTGCGGAGCCAGTTACTCAATGTTAATTTATAATCGACATGTCATTATGTAATTATTACGTAACGTATCCACTCGACGGGTATTATTTAACTATTGTAAATCATATACATATTAGTGTAGAGCCATGATAAAAAACTGATTGAAAAGAAATTTATTCGCTCGATTCATTCCTTCAATATTAAAGTTATTTGTTGCCTCCAGTTATTACCACAAACTATTGTGTAGTATCTTAGTTTTTAAATGTTGATTATATACTGACATATGTTCTCTTTCACTTCAGTAACTATAAGACATACTTAGTAAATGTTATTTATTCAGAGTTAGTAATTCATTTAATTATGTGAGTTTCGAGACATTTCTAACTTGTTAAGTAGAATCATCTGGATTTCAATGAGTGTTATTGTTCCTATGACGATTAAAAAACACGATCATTATTGATAATTTAGTGGCACAGTGAAGAACATGTCTATATATGAAGGTAAGAATAGTTTTCTATTAGTTCTGTTAGTTATTTACTTAATTGAAGTTTGATACTTTCCTTTTACTGAAACAGTTTATAAAAGAATCCAATTTTGTATTGAACCTTTTTTTAAATTGTAGATTTGTTTCTCAGAAATCACTTTCTACTTCTTTAACTGTTGTCAAATGTGCTTAACAAAAACTAATTCAAAAATATGGGGTACTATGAAATTTATTGGTCAAATTTATCGTCTATTCAGTAAGTCTACAATTTTTCATCTCTCTCTCTCTCTCTCTCTGCACACACACACACACATTAGGTACTTATCTGAATCAAAATGTTTATTTTTATTGAAGTTTCTTTGCATCCCCAAAACTCATATTGCTTATATGAGTATTCAATCAGTAGTCTAAGTTAAAGTGAATAATGTAAACAAATTCGCTTGACACAAAACCTAACAACAAATGGATATTGAAAGAAAAAGCAGAATAACTTGTTAACTATAAGATGATACACTTACATGTTACCGAAATGTTTAATAGTAGAGTAAATATGATTAAAAGTAGTAAATCCTACATTTCGCTCGACAATCTGTCTGCTTCAAGCTATATCAAAGAAATATAATCAAACCTAGTTTGTTTAATTATGCATTGTATTTAGTTAAATACATTTGTATTAAATTAGTGAAATTCATTTCAGATATCTTTCTTAATTGATCTTTTATTTGAATATGTTGACTTTGTGGATGATTATCAGCTTGATACTGTGATCTTTAACACTGGTCAGAATGAATTTAGATGTATCAATACAATGGTTAGGACTTTATAGTTTCAAATAAATTGAGTATTGGGTAGAAAGTTAATAATAAAACTATTATCTGTTAAATTTTGAGTTGAAAATTTGTCTTTCTGACATTTCGTGACTTCATGTAATCCACTTCTTCAGAATAAATGAAAAATCGATTTTTATTTACTCTAAAGAAGTGGCTTACATAAAGTCACGAAACGTCAGAATTTTGTGAAAAAAAAGAAATATTCAATATCAAAATACTCTTGTTTGAACATAAATTGAAAATGAGAAACATTTTTAAAGTCTGAAATGTTCAATAGTAACTAGTCCGAGTATATAAGTTTAGCGTTTGTTGAAATCTCTGCGATACTATTAATTTGCTTAAACGGACTGTCGCGTCTTAATGATCAGTGATATAGTGTATGCCATCTAGACATAGATTTTTTCTCCAATTAAGTATAAATATGTAATTTATTTAAATTTCACTTACGAGAGGGAACAAATTTATTTTAATAGTTGAGTTCATGAGTCAATCAAAACTAGATAATCATTGAAAACCTGGGAGCACTGGACAGACGTTTCATTCTAGTATGGGACTTCTTAGCAGTGCGCATCCACGATCTCACTCGCGCGATTCGGACCCAGAACCTTCGGTCTGGCACGCGGGCTCTTAACTTCTAGGATATTGATCCGGCATCCAACGGTTTTAATATCTAACTTCAACGAATTTTATTTTTACACAATTCTAAAATGATTTCATGTTTTCTTGTAAAAATCATTTCTTTTTCTTGTTTTCTCTCTTAAAAAACACCAGTTACTTACATTTTTGGTCTTCTTACAACAATGCTTTTAGTCTGGTTAATTAAAGTTTCTGTTGGACGTCTTCGACCAGATTTCATTCAAATATGTCGTCCATCTGAAAATGTTTGTCCTAAATGGTATAGAATAATACAAAAAACACGTCAATCTACAGATGAACGCAGTGCAATTGAATCAGATCCACAACTGTTAGATTTAATCGTTGCACAATTAGCTAAACAAGGTAAATATTTAGTTACAGTAGCTACAACACCTTCTCCGGAATCATCAACTGGTCACCTATCAGATGGATTATTTACAAATGCAGATTGTATGGAGAATAATATTTTAAAACTTAAAGAGGCTAGGTGAGTGTATAAAATACTTAGAAATGGCATAAAATAAAGTATTAATTTTTTATTAAAATGATCTTTAACATTGGAATATAAGACACTGGTTTCATCCTATTAATATTAATATTTAAACTGTAACTAGAACTCAGTACCTACTAATTTAAACGCCCAACGCGTTATCCACGGAGCAACTGAGCTCAAATAGCCATTGACTTGATCAATCAATATAAAGATATTAGTTAGATTGATTAATAGTTCCTTGTTGTTGAAATTCAAGCGACATTGATCAATTGTAGTTCTTAGCATTAACCACAAAATAAATACAAACCTTTACAAGTAATATTCATTAAACAATGATAAATGAAGTCTTTTGTTTTGTTTTAGACATCAATGATGCACCAATATTTTGTTTTGAATAATTTTAATGCTTTAATTGTATTATTCAATATTATATGTAGAACGTCATTTCCTTCACTGGGAGCAGCTGTTTCGATGTATGCAGCAATTTTTGTGACAGTAAGTTAATCATTATGAATAATCAATTATGTGTATTGATGTGAGAATCAATTTTGTTGGGGTTTTTTAAGACTTAGAAATACTTAGCCCTCCTTAATAAATCAATATTTAAATGATAATATTTCAAAGGTTAATGTTGATAACATGAATTTGCGTAATGAATTATATCATAAACAACGTAGAGTCTGATACAGATATATGTATATCGGTTGAAGTTGTAGCGTTGAATAAACATAGTGACTTAAAATTTAAAAAAATAAGTACCAGAGCAGTAGAGCTGGTGACAGTTATAGTTTTGGTGGAGTTTCGTTGATGGTGTTGTTCAGAAACAAAAAAAGGGCCATAATTAAACCATCCAACTCAGATGGCGAAACTCTATTAAAACCATCCACTTGAGCTATGAATCTCGATTGTCTCAACAATTACAGTAGTAATAGTAGAAAGTATTAAATAGAAACAATAATAATTCGTAAACGAACAACGAGCTGACTGGATAAAATGTATTACATGATTTATAAGAAACCGAGATTTAAAGAAAGATAAAGAATAAATGCGTTTGCATAGGTGTAACTGATTTTGAACTATCCCGCTCAGAGTCACTAACTACTGAATGGACCCCTACCTAAGACGAATTAGTCCAATAATCAGCGTCTTCATGTACTGATATCACGTTTTGGCTTATCAACCTCTAGTTAACTTTCAACTTGATCTTACACTAAAAACACTGTTCGTAAAGACAGAAAGTGTTTGGACATGTGTCATATGTTTCAACCACTTCAGCCATCGAAACTCCATTACCTCAACAATTGTTTCTCCATATTTGCCTAACATTAATGCCAAATCTCAGCGTTTCTCATTTACTAAACAAATACAGTTAATGAAGTTGTTTTATATAAAATTAAAAAATCCCACATCAATTCTCACATAATAATTTAATGACGATTCTCGTTCGTCAGAAAAAAAATTAATCCGGACAACAGAATTCATCCTATTCCGTCAAACTTTAGAGAATGGCAAACTTGTTACTAAGTCGTTGGGAATAGATAGAAAGAAACCATAGACCTATAATTTATAATAATTGGCATTAGTTACCAAGCCGTAGCTGCAATTTTCGAGAAGACGATGTTCTATACGAGTTGAAGTACTTAGTTCAATGGCTACGCTCGAACTATATTTAACTTGTTTTCCCTCATAATAATGAAGAAACTTATACGTCTTTATTAAAAAATAAGGATACATATTACTGGATATATAAACTTGAATTATCATCCTCTCAAACGCTTATAGTTGCTTCCTTTTGTGATGGAAAGCTTGAAAGTGTTGACGAGTACAAATTAATCACTTTGATAACTAATAGTTCTTTTTTGCATTATTTATTATTGTCTTCTCTAGGTATATATTACTGCATTAATGAAATATTTTCGAGACGCCTGTCTTTGCATTCCATTTTTATCATTGCTTGGTGTTAGTCTAATTGCTCTAATACTCGGTGTCAATAGAGCCATTTACAGAAATAATTGGTTTGAAGATATTTTAGCCGGTTGGATTATCGGTATTTGTATAGCTATATACGTTGTAAGTAAAACTACTTGTTAATAATTCTCTGCATTTAAATAAATTGTAGGTAAAGGCTTGTGGAGATGCGAAATCAAATGTTATAGGTTCGATTCCTACGTGTGGAGTCGTGTATGAGTACTGCTGAGGAGACCCATACTAAAATAAAACTGCCGTCCAATGCTTTCAGGTTTTCAATGGTGACCATGGTTTTAAGTAATTTAAATGAACTACTTTAATACATTGCAGGTAGTTAATGTAAAATTATCGAAATGTTTTCAGATCACATCTATCCACATGAAGTAGAATTTGATGATATTATCCAAAATAACATCTAAGCTACAAGAAAATTACATCTTAGGCTTCAATCTGATACGATAATCTCTCTCATAACCTCAAATATCAAAGGACATGTATATCACAGTTGTTAATTTCTCAGAAGGAAAGTGTATTAACATACAACTTCATGATTAACTATAGACTGGTATGTAATAAAGAAATATTTTACCTTACTCCAACCACATTAATCCCTAAATCAAATCTGTCGAACCAGAAGAGATTATAAGATGAAAAGAATAGGCTGAGCTGTTAGATTTATGTTGCTAAGAGAAGTTTATCTAACATGAAAATCACTTGTTGGATCAATGAAATATTGATATTCATTAAGTTGAGACGTTTGTGGAGATTGATTTTATGCAAAGATGATTGTTATCATGGATTGATATCAATCGACATTACCGTTTGAAGACTACTGAAGACTAAAGGTTATTACTTTCCTAATATGAGACACCTCAGCAATAGTGGAACTAGGTGTGTTATCTATAAACTATTGAATCGGAAGGTAATCGTCCTATTACCAACTTTCAGTTATCGATATCGAACAACGATTATCCAATACTTTTAGCAATGACTTTCTACTCCCAGTAGAGGTGACTCCTAACTCCAACTTTCAGTATTGTTGTATTCGGAAAAGTGAACTTTACTATCTAAGATACGAAAGTGGTTTATATCTCTTATTTGTTCTTATTAGAGTAAACAGAGATTATATAAATCTTAACGGTTGTTATTTGCATGACATTCTGGTACTTTGACACCAACTTCAATGTCATACTAATGAAATTAAAAGTAATGAATCGTTTACTTTGTCAAAGTTCTTCCTTTTTTCTTTTTACAAAGGACTATTCCTTCATTATACAATTTAAATATATCTTTTCTGTTTTGATATTTCTATGTATTTTCAGTGTTTCAAAGTTTTATACAATCGTGACAAATCGAATGATTTAACTAATTATGATTTAAATCGTCGTTTGCATAGAATTCAAACTTTAATTCAAACTCATCATGATTATAAACAATCTGAGGTAAGATTAGCTATATACATAGATATATACTTCATAGTAAATTATTACACAATAATAGGAATGGATTTCCATTAGTTACACGTAGATATTTTCATATTTGTTAGGTAGAGCAATAAGTAAGCCTGATATGTTTATGTTATATCTTAGCGAAGATTAAATTACGAGTAAATTCTAAGACCTATTAATGGACTAATATTATCTATATATTCCTATGGTATAACTATTCAGTAATTAGATTGTGTATATTTATATTCATCTTATTATAAGCTTCATTTTGGCCTATAATTTATTATTATACGATATACTGTTCCTAAATTACGTTCAGTCTATTTACTACCGTTCACAGTCACTTTTTGACTTTATTGTGTATAAATGTTATTTCTTTATTTTATGGTACGTTGCGGTCTGTTTGGTTAATATATAAACCCAATATGTCTGAAATAAATGATTCGCATGTTGGAGGCTGTCGTTAGCATTCTGGACTCAGCTGGACGGGCTAGGTGAGCAACGAACCAATAAGACGCTAGGCTGATCAGATCGGACGAATGTCGTTGGTTTAGTACAGTGCAAGAGCGAATAAGTCGTATTTTGATTGGTGAATAAATTACGTGATAACTAGCGGGTCATAAAGACACAATAGTTTCACTATCATTAGCCAATGAAAGACTGGGAAAATTCACACCTTACATTCAATTATATTTTAACTGACTTGAACTATATTTTGATTGGAAGATTTTTGTACAACGGAAAACCAGAGGGCGGTATGCAATTGTTCTGTTCTAGTATGGAACTCTTCAACAGTACGCTTACATGACCATCCCAGCGATAAAGCTCTAAACCTTTAGTTCACTCAGGAAACCTGTCATTTACAAAACTGGTTAAAGTTCAGTGTTTCATGATCTTTGAAAGTTGTCTGAACTGAAATCATTCCGTGATATTAGCTACCTTTACGGTAAACTGTCTTCACAAATTCTTCAACTTATACAAGTTTCCTAAGTTTTATTTCCAGCTCTGGGTTTGTGGATGAGCATTGCTGAACAGTCCCATACTACGACGAAATGGTCATTCATTGCTTCCAGTTTTTTTTTCAGTGGTTGTTTAACTTAAATCAGGTAGTGATTTCAATGAAATTATTCTTTCTTTCAAATTGAACAATTTATAGAAAACATCCATTGTCTTTTAAATGAATCTGAATGATTGTAATTTAATTAAATATTGTTTTTGCCATTACTATTAATAACAATTTATTTTTTATTTCAGTTAAAAATGATGAAATATTTGTGATATTCACACAGGTATGTTTAGATTAATTAAAGGAAACTATATCTTATTACATATATATATATATATATATATATATATATATATTTAGTGTCTTACATCGTAGACTGAAAGTAGTTTAGGCAACTACTGAAAGTCAGGATGCATTGGACTGTTGATTTGGTCCCAACATACAACTCATCAACAGTATACAACATTATCTGCCACAAGATAGATCTTAGGATCTTTGATCATAAGATGGTTTAGTCAACATTTAATCATTTACATTTCTCATTTCAACCAGTTAGTAATTTAGCATGATTTTGAATGTAGCGTTTATTATTTAAATGAATTAATACAACTAACCGGTCAAACTATATTGGAATTAGTTAGGTGAATAAATGATTTGTAGTTTTTCCAAAAAAAAATTGGTCAAAAATCAAGTGAATAGTCTCACAAAAATTCTCAGCTTAATACATGGAATATATTAAATAGGAAGTTGTAACTGGAAACTTCTCGCTAACTAAATTAATAAAAGAGTAGTCTGAACATTTTGCTTAGATCGTATAATTTGAACATCCTAATAGAATACATTATAAAACTAAAATTATCGAAGCAAACAGTGGTCTAAAGTTTAGGTACTCACTGTGAGACATGAAGGCCGTTAGTTAGATAGATCCTTAGTGTGCTTGTTGATGAGAACCTCCACTATGGAATCCTATACTATGGTGAATCAACTATCCAGTGCTGCCCGGCCTTCGATAATTATCTAACTTGGGTCGACTAACGATCTCAATATAACTCAACAATATCCACAGAAACCCGTTTACTGATAACTATAAGTAAGTTTGAAGAACTACCCAATTTGGTAGATTTGCTGATTACACAAAATGTTCCCGACATTCTTCTAGTTTTTGAAGATACTATCGAACAATTCTCATAAAATCTTGACATGCTTCATGTCGCTAGGTGGTGTTGAGTTCACTAGAAATGGAATACTGAATAGTTAATGAGGATACGATTTTTTTCCTAACAATCGGGATATGCTAATGTATAGATAATCTAATATCATCTCATTCATTCACACACTATTTGAATCCATCCAATATTTGTAAGAGCTAACTGTAAGGTTGTTTTGTTACATAAAATAAAACCTTTTTAAAGAATCTCAATTCTATCAAGGTTAGTTTTGCGGTCTGCTTCTACTCAATACAGCGCTATATTCATGTTGTATTCTCAATAATTTTTTTAGGCCTTTTGAGGAATTCACCAAATAGGTTTCAAACAAGTTTTTAAGCTTATTCTGTTCGACATTCAAATATCACAATGTATTTCATTCTCATTTACAGGATTAAGCTTAGTGCATTCACCTTCAAAGACATAGTTTTAATGTTTATTTTTCCATATTACATATTTGGTTTTCACAAATATTGAACTTAATAAGAAAGAGAAATTATACAATTTCTTGTAAGTAAGAAGATTGATAAATAACAGAATTTGTAGATTGTATTCGTCACAGACAGTTCTCATTGTGGGATAACATTGAGATGAATACAACCGACAAATCAAACTCATCTTCATGAAGCCTTTAGATTCAGAGCTTGATCTCTGGAAAGACATTGAATGAGCATTACCTGAAAGCTGAACTAGTCTCGATCAGACAGATTTGATATTTCTTGAACAATCCAACTGATATTCATCAGTATCTAACTCCTTTTTATTGAAGACTTTAAGTATTCTTTTTTTAATCCGTTCAAAATATCACCACATTATTTCTTCAGTTAACAGTTGACAACTATCATTCATAATATTTTAAAATACCGGTTCAACAATAAACCGTTGACTATATGTCCTAATACAAAAACGTACATTTAATTTTGTCATAGATTAAATAAATGTGTGAGTGTCTATTTATATGTGAGCTGATATTGAGTACTAAATTATAGAATTTAATAGATGATAGTCAACATTTTCTCGTTCATAGTATTCATTCAATCAATCTTCCAATTAATCGAATTGCACTGTTGCCTCATTCATCCAAATCATCAAATTATATTTCCAATTCAAAAGTGTTAAACTTTTAAAACAAACGACATAATTTGTGAACCTTCAAATGTTCAGTCTTAACAATAAACTGTAAATTCCTTTGTTTATTTATTTATTTATAAATTCATTCGTATTCGAAGGTTATATCTAGTAAGGTTATATAACTTGTTAGTTAGTACACTTTAATAAGTGGAAGAACCTGACTTAGTCCAATAGGTATTTCTAAAAATTTCAAGCAGCTTTATAAATAAAAGTGTAGTAGACGATATTTATTAAAGGAGATGAAAAAACCAGATGGTAAGTGCTGTATGGTAAAAGGAAAATCCGATGACATTATAAAAGACACCTAATTATAGTATATGCCTGGCGATTACATCGATAAAGTATCCAAACCAGTAACGAAGTATCAGACAAGATCAATACTTCCTACTAGAATAACCTTTTGCAATCTTAAAGATGAAGTTTAAATGGCCAGCACAACGTTATATATGTAAGACTTTACATAAATACCATTCGGTTCAGTACAAGTTTGGCAATATCCCCTCTTAAATAAGAAAATGATGCTGATTTCAAAAGCTAAGTTTTCCGATGATTAACTGACCGCCTGGTCATGATTTAAAAACAAAGTGTAAAACTCTTATCTAGACAGACGTCTATAATCATTATTATAAAGGGTTTGAATTATCCTGTTGTTGGTATTTCGGACTCAATTTTGTTGGTTTATATGCATCTGAATAAACGTGCCTCAATATAGCTATTTTGTAACAAGTTTTAGAGAGTAGATGGATTATAGCTAACAGTGGAATCCAGAACACGTGTCTTGTTCTATTCAGGACTTTTCAGCTTTGTGTACTCACATCCTGGTTTCGCTTTTCATACTGATACAAGAAACGAGAATCTTACGCTATAAATGCATTATCGACTGAGCTACTAAGTCTAGATGACCACTAACTTGTTTAATAACTGTGATGTTGAAATCATTATTTATAAGAGCTGTGATGGTCTCATTTTAAAGGTCAGTAATTGCATACAGGTTAATGCAGCTGATGAACCCTTTAATGGAATCAAACACGTGTCCTATATTCCACTACTGTGTATAACCAACCTATTTTATAGAAAAATATCTTTAATCTCCACTGACTAACCAAGCCTAAATTACCATTTATCGAGGATGTGCACTGCTGAGGAGTCCCACAATAGAACTAAACAGTCGTCCAGTGCTTCCAGGTTTTCCATGGTGATCTAGCTTCAATTGTCTCATGATCTCAACTATTAAAAATTACTATAATATCAACAAAACCCATTCTCATAATAATCATCGTATGCTCAATAGTAACTCGCTTCAAGAGGTATTTTCTGAAGTTCTAGTGAGAAGCACTGACCAGTGGAGTTCAATCGGGTCTGTTGTGAGTTAGTAACTCTCAGATGACAATAGTGGATGTGTCACTGAATTTCGTGGATTAGTTGAAGTTAGACATTAACACCGTTGGATATCGGCCGGCTCAGTGAAGTAGAGGTTAACTGTTCATGCGCGAGACTAATAGGTCCCGGGTCGGAATCTCATGATGCGGGATGGTGGATGCGCACTGTTGAGGAGTCCCAAATTTAGACGAAACGGCCGTTCAGTGTTCTAGCTTCAACTGACTCACGACCTCAACTAGTAAATTTATTTGAAATATGTTAATGTTTAATTTATTTTTTATTATTCTCAATTTTATTTAATATTTTAGTATATAAACAGAAATTATGAAAATTGGATCAAATCAATTCATTACTGTTGATTGATCTTCTTTAGAAAAGTATTCATATTCATACATCATTTCTCATTCTTTTCCCTACTATAATCATGTAACATCATTCTATTTTGATGCTAAATTGATACACGAAATTAAAATCTAATTTAACTAAAACATTAATAAATAAAATATATTGAATGTCATACACATACACACATAGATACATGAATACATACATACATACATACATACACCAGATTCAAATATACATTCGTCAGTTTCTCTGTTTTTTTCTTCAATGTTTTCTTTTGTTTTTTTTACTTTTCTTTTTTCGTTTTGACTTTGGGTAAATATAACTAGTGATATCAATAAAATAAAAAAATTATATTAGTAAATGAAAATATTGAAAAGTTGAATTACATCACTCCTTTTTTTAAAATGAACCAAGCAACAATCAATAATCAATTACATAGTTTCTAAACAAACTTTTAGGTTTTATCAATAACCAGTTTTTTTTTAAAAAAAATTATGTTCCTGTTGGGTTTCCTTTTCTTTACTTTTTTCTTTTCTTTTTTTTGCTGCTGTTGCAAAAAAAGCGTTACATACTGCTATTGTTTTACTTCTCTTTAAATTGATGATGATTCAGTTGATTGGAATCTTATTTAAACAAAAACGATTTTTTGTTTTTCATTTAGGAACTATTTATATTGTTGATAATAATTTGAATTATTACTTTCACATTGTGTTTTATGATTATATGGGTAAATTGTGATTTTCGATTATAATAAAAACAAACAAACAAACAAACATTCATTATGAAAATACATAAATGTGATTTTATATTGTATTAGTTTAATAGTAATGAGGTAATAGTATTGATATAATGAGTTTAATTAGGCATTAATCAAATGATAAGCGTCTATTATTGTGGAAAATTTAATTTTCGGTGAGACTCTAATTAATTTACGACCTTTGAACGAATCTTAAGCGACCTTGAGAAATATAAGCCAAAAAGAAAACAATAAGTATAGAGTAAAAATATATTATACAAAACCAAGGAAATAAAGTGGATACACTTCTTGTACGTGGTTCAAAAACTTGTCAAGGTTAGAAAGAGGTTCAAAGGTTCTAAAATCGTAATGCATGCAGTAGAGGAAATCATCCATATGGCTACAGAATAGTCGGCCCATGTAGCCATGATAAGTCCCAAAAACTCTTTCAGCCTTGATCACATAGCTTCAA